CATTAGGAAAGTTCTAGGTAAGTAGATTATTATGTCTTTCTTGATTTTACTTATTTTTCTTTTTTATTTTTATTTTTATTTTATTTATTTATTTATTTTATTTTTATTTTTTTTATTTTTTTTCTTTCTTTCTTTGTCATTAAAGGACTGTAGGAATAGATTTATATTTATACATAGCCACAATATGAACAGTATGATTAACCAGGATATCTCAAATCCACCAACGATTCGTCTTTGGATGAGGAAGAAATATTTTGTAATTCTCTTCATGTGTTTGTATTTTTAACCATCTACTAGAATATGTATATATATATATATATATATATATATATATATATATATATATATATATATATATATATATATATATATATATATATATATATATATATATATATATATATATATATATATATATATATATATATATATATATATATATATATATATATATTCACCTAATGTCATATTATAGTTTTAATATGTATATTTAAGAAGTACTAGGCTGTCTTAAATATGGAGTTTCATGTTTATATCACTTTAAATTTTGCAGTTTTGTAATTCTAAATATATATTTTTTTTCTTTCTGCAGTCATTGCTCATTCTTACTTTCATTTTTCCAGATAAACTGACAGTAAGTACTCAGCAGTTGTTCTTGTCCGTACAAGGAGATGAATGAAAAGTGACGTGCTTCAGCTTAGGAACTTTCAGCATTATTTTCATCATCCATTTCTCCTTTAAAATTACTTCATTATATACATAATCATATTAAGATTTTTTTAGGGAATTAAAATAAAACAGGAAAAATTTCGTGTGATATGTCAGTCATAAACGGTGTCCAATAGGGCAAGGAAAGGTTCTACAGTTTTGATACATTTTCTGAGAGTTTCTCTCATCAAAATATCGATAACCTCTCTTATAAATGATGAGCAAAGAGCTTGGATCACGAGATTGTACACATACAGTTACTGAGTCTTTGCAGATGATTTGTATGACATTTTTTTAAATACATGATGTGAATTTTCCATATCTGATAAACTAGCTTCACACTCAATGTTGTTGTGCCAAAAGACAGTTTGGAGACACCGTAAACATTGAGCAGCTTGAGTCTTTGCAAATGATTTGTATGACACTGCCATTTTTTTTAAATACATGATGTGGTTAATAATCCATATCTGATAAGCTAGCTTCACACTTAATGTTGCTGTGCCAAAAGACAGTTTGAAGATACCTTAAACTCTGAGCAGCTTTCACTATTCAGCACTTGACTGGTATTATCTTTCACTATGTAAAGTCCTATGTAAAGATCATCCTATGTCATACATTAGAAACAAAAAAGGTAAACTGAGTAAAATAAATACCTTGAAAATGCTCTCTATCATTATCAACTAAGAGACCCATGAGTTCTTTTAACGGATATTGTATTTCTCATATCAATACACTTCAAGTGATTTTACTTGATGGACATTGGAACTATAGTCAATTTCTAAGTAATTTTTACTAACTGAACCCGTAAGTTCTTTGTTTACTATAATTTATAATCCCATTTTGTCATTCCTACATAGTACAACACTGAGCAGGGTATCACACCACAGAGACACAATGTAGGACAAAATACCATGTTAGATCAAACAAAAATAATTTCACTTACATCAATGAAATCATTTTAAGGACACTGACACAAGAAATACAAAATTTATTAAAAGAAGAACTCATAGGTCTCTTATATGATAATTATATATGAATGAATATATCCATGGTAATGACATATATGAAAATAAGAATGAACTGAATTCACTCAAAGTTTTTTTTAGGACTCGTGATAAATACTGAGGCAGAATGTTGTAATTAGTACAAGATGCCAAAAAGATGTGAATCTCAGGAAAAAATACATAAAAGTATTGAATTGTTTTTAATATTTGTGTGACATTGATGTTCATATGTATAATCATTTAAGTAAACTGTCTTTAAGTATTTGTGTAACTCAAAGAAAGACAAAAGAAAATTACTTTCATGTATGATTTACAGATATGTAGAGCAGAATATAATATAATATAATAATGAACCGTATTCATGGTGACAAATGTAGAAAAGGTATGAATGAGAATGAATATCTTCACAATACAAGAGATGTATTTGACCGGTTTCGATTATATCTTCGTCAGAAATACATGAATATAATGAATAGAAATACATGAATATAATATAATATATGTAATATTCTACGGCTGGGTGAAATTAGCCAGAGTACCTATCAAAAATCAAAAGAAATTATATCTCTGCTTATCTTTTATATGGGAGGTCATACATACTTTGAGGAGAGAAGCTCTCAGAAAATATGTCGAAACTGTGACGAATTATGTGACGAATTTGCTGTGATTGTGGTAGTTTTAGTACCAATATTGAAAAGGTTAGACCAGAATGGTTGTTTAGGAAAGAGAGAGGAAATGGTATTTTTCCAATTTGTATAATATGGCGTGAATGGAAATACGTGTTAAGA